CCTAACCCTAGACCCTAAACGAAAGCCCTAAAGGGCTGCCACGCCGAAGCCAGCGAAGGAGGAGGTTTTTGACCCTAAACCCACATCCCTTGAACCCTAAACCTTAGACCTGAAACCCTAAACCCTAAACCTGAAACCCTAAACCCTAAACCCTAAAACCCTAAAACCCTAAAACCCTAAAACCCTAAAACCCTAAAACCCTAAAACCCTAAAACCCTAAAACCCTAAAACCCTAAAACCCTAAAACCCTAAACCCTAAACCCGAAACCCTAAACCCTAAACCCTAAACCCTAAACCCTAAACCCTCCCCTCTAGGACCACTCCGTGCACCTCGGAGCCAGGGCGCGGGTAAAGGAGCTCAAAGTGCCGTCGGTTGGATGGGAAGGACACCGGGTTGACCTTTGAATAGGGTTTAGGGTTTAGGGTTTGGGGTTTAGGGTTTAGGGTTTAGGGGGTTTGGGGGGTTTGGGGGGTTTGGGGGGTTTGGGGGGTTTGGGGGGTTTGGGGGGTTTGGGGGGTTTGGGGGGTTTGGGGGGTTTGGGGGGTTTGGGGGGTTTTGGGGGGTTTGGGGGGTTTGGGGGGTTTGGGGGGTTTGGGGGTTTGGGGGGTTTGGGGTGTTGGGGGTTTGGGGGGTTTGGGGGGTTTGGGGGGTTTTTGGGGGTTTGGGGTTTGGGGGTTGGGGGGTTTGGGGGGTTTGGGGGGTTTGGTTTGGGGGGTTTGGGGGGTTTGGGGGGTTTGGGGGGTTTGGGGGGTTTGGGGGGTTTGGGGGGTTTGGGGGGTTTGGGGGGTTTGGGGGGTTTGGGGGGTTTGGGGGGTTTGGGGGGTTTGGGGGGTTTGGGGGGTTTTGGGGTTTACGGTCTAGGGTTTAGGGTCTAGGGGGCGAGGTTGGCAACGCATGACTGGAATGGCAGGCATCAGACGGGCACTTCTCTAAATCATGGTCCCTTTCAAGGTTGCCACTATATAAGGCGGCCCCTATTATCTAGGATACCCCCTAAACCCTAAACCCTACACCCTGAACCCTAATCCCTAAACCCTAAACCCGACAGGGGACCCGACTTAGAGTTTTGGCCATATGGGGGTTTCCGAATTTAGGGGAGGTACCTTATGAGGTCCCTTATTCGCGCAAACCCCCATAGAACAATCCGCGATGATGGTGCTCCTAGAGCCTGCGCACCCTCAACGACTCTGAAACCTAAGCCCAACATCCCACCAAAAAAAGGGAGGAAAACCCGAAACCTTCTGCGCGAGAAGGGGAAAGACCAGGGTGCGTTGCGAAGTTCCTAAAACTACCCCAAAAACCCCGAAGAATTTTAGGGTTCAGGGTCAAGCCCATAAACCCTAGTCGCCCAAAAGCCCTAAGGATTTTAGAGTGCGGGGTCAAACCCAGAAACCCTAAACCCTAAACCCTAAGCCCCCAACCAAAAGGGAGAACCTTCCCGGGGGCGTGGCGAAGTAAGCTTCGCCAGTCTCGTTGCAGTAGGGCGGGTAGTAGGGCATGCAGGGGACCTCGTGCGTGACCTGGCCAGGCGGCTTGCGGTTTAGGGTTTAGGGTTTAGGGTTTAGGGTTTAGGGTTAAGGGTTTAGGGTTTAGGGTTTAGGGTTTAGGGTTTAGGGTTTCGGGTTTCGGGTATAGGGTATAGGGTATAGGGTTTAGGGTTTAGGGTTTAGGGTTTAGGGTTTAGGGCTTAGGGTTTAGGGTTTAGGGTTTAGGGTTTAGGGTTTAGGGTTTAGGGCTTAGGGTTTAGGGTTTAGGGTTTAGGGTTTAGGGTTTAGGCTTGACAGAGGCTACTAATTGCTTCAGAAAACACCCAAAAAGACAAAATAATCATCCTGATAAGGGCAAGATAGGGATTTTCATGTTTTACATATTTTTTTTGGGGGGGGGTTCTTAAGCAAATAATAGTAGGGTGCAGGGGCGGGGGTTTAGGGTTTAGGGTTTAGGGTTTAGGGTTTAGGGTTTAGGGTTTAGGGTTTAGGGTTTAGGGTTTAGGGTTTAGGGTTTAGGGTTTAGGCATAGGGTTTAGGGACTCAAGGATTCTAAGTATAGGGTTTAGGGGCTTCGGGGATAGTAGTATGGGGTTTAGGGTTTAGGGATAGGGCTTCGGGATTCCCTAAACCCTAAACCCTAAACCCTAAACCCTAAGACCTAAACCCTAAACCCTAAACCCTAAACCCTAAACCCTAAACCCTAAACCCTAAACCCTAAACCATATTCAAGGATTATAGGGTTTGTGGACCTAGGGCTTGGAGCTTGCGAATTTCAAGGATTTTGGGGTTTGGGGTTTTCCAGGATGAAGGTGCAGGGATTCAAGGACTACAGCTAGGTTTAGGGTTTAGGGTTTAGGGTTTAGGGTTTTGGGTTTTGGGTTTAGGGTCTAGGGTTTAGGGTTGAGGGTTTAGGGTTTAGGGTTTAGGTTGCCCAGCAACCTAGGATTCACAAGGGTGTCCTGAAAGGGGTTTATATGGAGACCTAAAGCCCCCACAAAAGGGAATAAGGGTACTACTGGGCATCCTAGATAGGGTTTCGGGAGTTCAAGGATTAGCGTGTTTGGATCTAAGGTTAAGGTTAAGGATGAGGGTTTAGGGATTCAAGGATTCCAGGGTCTCGGGATTTCAAGGATTAGGGTTTGGAGGCTTAAGGATGAGGGTTGGGGATTTCGGGATGAGCGTTTAGGGATTTAGGGGTTACAGGGTTTCGGGATCTCAAGGATTCGGCTTTAGGGATCTAAGGCTTAGGGTTGGGGATTTCGGGATGGGGGTTCAGGGAATTAAGGATTATAGGGCCCCGGTTAAGGTCTAGGGATTCCAGAAGTAAGGTTGACAAATTCAAGGATTACAGGGCTTCGGGATCTCAAGGATTAGGGTTTGGGGATCTAAGGGTTCGGGTTTGGGGATTTCAGGTTTAGGGGTTAGGGATTTCAGGTTTTAGGGATTTGAGGATGAGGGTTTAGGGATTCTAAGAAGTGGGCTTGGGGGCTTTAAGGATTGCTACTACGTGACCTGCTTAAGAACCCCCAAAAAAGTATAAGATAATATGTTCCCCATTACAATTGTAGTACCCTTGTAAGGAACAAAGATTTTTGTTTTGGGGATCCTTAAGCGAATAGTAGATACCCCTTAATGTGGGTCCCCGCTACAGAACCCTTATACACACTGTACATAACAAGGGCCCCCATATCTTCGGATCCCTTTAACTAGTGTTTAGGGCTCAGAGTGTATATATATATATATATGGAATAAGGTATAACCCCTAAACCCTAAACCCTAAACCCCAAACCCTAAACCCTAAACCCTAAACTCCGTTTGGGTTTTGGGTTTAGGGATTAGGGTGAGAAAGGGTTTAGGGCTCTGAGTCGCCGCAGAGCAGCCGGAAGCCCCCAGTCGCCAGAGGCATTGAAGATCACCTGCGCAGGGCGGGCTTAGGGTTTAGGGTTTCGGGTTTAGGGTTTCGGGTTTCGGGTTTAGGGTTTAGGGTTTAGGGTTTAGGGTGGTTAAGCTGGCTGTCCGAAACCTGGCATCCAGCCGCGCCATGCAGGGCACTAGACCAGAACTTGGCCGGAAGTGCCTCTGCAGCCTGAGATTGCCAGAGTGCATTTTGCGCACAGCGTCTTCAGCCTTCTGCCAGATGGCAGGGCTGCTCACGCCGACCACTGCCCCGACTTGTTCTCCCGTCACATTTGTGACTGCGCGGTTCACAATCATGCCCTCACACTTCAACAGGAAAACCTTCGGCAGGCCAGCAATGCTCTTGATCACTTTTGTCTTCTTGCTGATGGCAGAAGAGATACCAGCGTCCTCCTCCTCGTCAGTCTCTTCCTCACCCGGGTCGTCTTCGGATTAGAGTTTAGAGTTTGGGGTTTGGGGTTTAGGGTTTAGGGTTTAGGGTATAGGGTTTAGGGTTTAGGGTTTAGGGTTTGGGGTTTGGGTTTAGGGTTTAGGGTTTAGGGTTTGGGGCCTAGAGGTCTAAGAGCTTAGGGTTTCGGGTGTAGAGGTCTTAGGGTTTAGGGTTTGGGGTTTAGGGTCTGGGGTTGAGGGTTTTAGGGTTTAGTGCTCAACCCCAAACCAGGATGGGTTGATCAGGACTCGTAAACCCTAAGCCGTAAACGGGGAACCTTAAACCCTAAACCCTAAACCCTGAACCCTGAACCCTAAACCCTAAACCCTAAACCCCAAGCCCTATTCAAAAAGTAACTCGGTCCCTTCTGGGTTCTCTCGCTTCTCACTGACGCACGACGGGTGCCATGATCGTTGTTGCAACCTAGGGTTTAGGGTTTAGGGTTTAGGGTTTAGGGTTTAGGGTTTAAGGTTTAGGTTTTAGGAAAACCCTTAACCCGAAATAAACCCTAAATACCCTAAACTTGGGATGGGACTGTTAGTATGAGGGAGCATCCCAGCCCTGACCATAAACCCTAAACCCCAAACCCTCAACCTTAAACCCTACATAACCGTGTGAGGGAGCCCCTACCTCTAGGGGTGCTGGCCGGCTCTTCGAGAAGGCACAACCCAAACCTTTAGGAGGGTTTAGGGAATAGGATATAGGGTTTAGGATTTAGGGTTTAGGGTTTAGGGTTTCGGGTTTCGGGTTTCGGGTTTGGGCAAGGATTCACCCCGAAAACCCAGAAGCAGCGGCGGCTGGCAACCAATCTGGCAACCCCTTCCCCTGTGGTCCGCACACCTCCCTTTCAGGATTAGGGCTTAGGGTTTGGGGCTTAGGGCTTAGGATTTGGGAAGGCTTTGCGGACGCGCTCCTTGTTAGCAACCCAGACCATACAGCCAGGGCCGCATTTTCACGCTTGCTAAAGACATCATCAGGTATGTCAGACGTGCTAGAGTCTGCTAGAGTGCCATGTATTTCTCTCCTCCAAAGGTATGAAGACGGAGAGGGAACATAGCTTCTGATGCATGGCATACGGGCAAGTATGTTCAAATACAGCAAATCATGGTTCACAGCGGACATGACGCACATCATCATTTAGCCATTTAGCTCAACTGTAGCCTCATGGCTGAGCGACCGTCTCAACAGCCGAGCTGTCGCCATGCTCCTGCGTCGCTTCCTGCGCACCACACTTGCCCAAAGCCTCCACAGCACTTGCCAACACTCTGAGGTTGAAAGCAGCCTCATGGTTCGCGCAGTTCGATCGCATGTCCCACACCGGCGCCATTGCTTCACAGATCATGGCCTTCGTCGCAGCCGGCGCTGGCTTTGTCAGAGCGCGCAGCGCTTGCGCAAGCTCGTGGATGTAGAGCCGCAACTCAGTGGCGGTAACCTCAACTCCCTGCAGCAGTGCTTGCTGCACCCCGCCTTCCACCTATACTGCACTTTGAACACCAGCAAAAATTCTCTAAAGTAGCTGTTGCTTAGGAATTAGAATGCCAAAAAAAACAATAAAAAGAAAAAGACTAATTTCTAAGTATCCATGTTTCTTAGGAAATCTAAAGCCCAAAAAAAATAATATAAAGAAAAAACTATTTCCAAGTATCCCTACGCCACCTCTGCGACATACTTTGCAAAGGCGGCTCTCGAGATCGGCTCCGGCAGAGCCGGGAGGGGCGGCATGGAGGGCTTTCCTGACTGTTGGTGACTATAAGGGTTTAGGATTTTGGGATGAGGTACCCTACATAATCCCTTGGAGGGTATATATGGGGGGGATCCTATATAATCCCTTAAACGGCATGTAGAGAGGTACCCTACATAATCCCTTGAAGGGTATAGGGTTTAGGATTTAGGGTGTAGTCATTCCCTACTAACCAACAGCAAGCTTCTGGCAGCTGAAGGGGCTGGTCTGCCGTCTGATGTGCCCTTTGAGGCACCACCTTACTTGGAGGTTCATGGCGCTTGTGAACCAATTCTAGCTGTACTTACCCACTTACGCCCCGTGCCCTAATATGGCTACAAGTGCAGATAGAAGTACAGTTATGATTGGTTAATAAGTACCATAAACCCCAAACCCCAAACCCTAAACCCTAAACCCTAAACCCTAAACCCTAAACCCTAAACCCTAAACCCTAAACCCTAAACCCTAAGCGAACCTCCAAGTAGAGATGCTCTTCAAGCCAGCACCGACACCATTCCTTCATCCCATGACCCCAAGAAAGACAAGAGCAAGTAGAGACAGGGTTTAGGGTTTAGGGTGTAGGGTTTAGGGTTTAGGGTTTCGGGTTTCGGGCTTCGGGCACTGACGAAAGCAAGACCAGTACCAAAACAGCAAGAGGGACAAAACCAAGAATGACAGCAACGGCAATAGCACCTGCATCAAGACACCAGAATCTGAGAGCCATCGGCAAGCAGAAGAAATGCGAGCAAAAAACACTTTCACTCCGGCTCTAAGGTTTTTGTCGTTTTTTTTTTTTTTTTTTTGGGGGGGGGGGGGTGTTGAGTCAACGGTTTAGGTTTTCTCAAGTGCCAGCACACAAGCGCGCTCAAGCAAGAACGAGAGGCTCGCATATCCGGCTGCTTTCCTGGAAGGGCTCGCCTGGCTCAAGTCCTTAGTTGCTGAAGTCATAAGCCCCAAAAAAGTGTACACTTTCAACTCTAGAGGGGGGCTATCGTATCCTAAAGAGTGTAAAGTGTACTCGCTCAGCTACTCTTGGCTGCACTCAGGAGGGTAGCTATAAATTAACTGTTAGCTGCCTTAATAAGAAACCCAATGAACCCAAAAAAAGGTAAGGATCTAAAGGTTACAGTAAAGTACCACAAAGTATAGGGGGGTTATCGTATCCCAAAGAGTGTAAAACCCTAAACCCTAAACCCTAAACCCTAAACCCCAAACCCCAAACCCTAAACCCTAAACCCTAAACCCTAAAGCGTACTCACTCAGCTACTGTAAGAGTCGTAGCACGCCTTGGAGCCCTGGAGCCAGCTCTGGTCATCCGCGTAGGCCACGTCGGGGCCCACCAGCGGGCCTTTCTGCGCGGCGGCGGTCTTCCACTCCTCGGGCAGCCCAAGATGCACGTTACAAAATAAGGGTGCCCCTTTTTTGTTTAGTTTTTTTTTTTGGGGGGGGGGGCTACTTTAGAAGGGAACTTTGAACCAACAAAAATTGTAGTAAGGGTGCCCTTCTTTGGGGTTGGCTACTTTAGAAAGGAACCTTGAACCCTAAACCCTAAACCCTAAACCCTAAACCCTAAACCCTAAACCCTAAACCCTAAACCCTAAAGGGAACCAGCGGGCTGCCAAGATGCTCTTCGCCATCCAGGCTGGGGTTGGGAGTTGAAGTTGAGGTTGCTCTGCTCCCCAGACGTGGCCTCTTAAAGCCCTAAACCCTAAACCCTAAACCCTAAATCCTAAACCCTAAACCCTAAACCCTAAACCCTAAATAAGGGACTTTGTAGGGGTGTAGGGGTTGTTTACGGGTTACCAAGGGGTTATTCAAGTAGATAGGGGCTATATAAAGGATATATGGGGTTCGAAAGGGAAATAAGATAAGGGTCCCTTCTAGGGGTCCCTCCTTTACTCCCTCCTGAAAGCCTGCAATCGCTGCTCGCGCTGGACGACTCGCACCAAGCGATCCATAACCTGCTGCCCCCGCGAGGCATCGCAGCGAGTGGCATGCTGCTCTCGCTTCTGACGGCTTGTCGGCATGTTTCGCGGCACAGCAGGGTTTAGGGTTTTGGGTCTAGGGTTTAGGGTTCAGGGTTCAAGGTTTAGGTTTTGGGTTTTGGGTTTTGGGTTTAGGGAGGTGGGGGGCTAGAAAGCCTATCAAACCTTCAACCCTAAGCCCTATACACATCATGCATAGGGGTGCAAGTCCTTGTATCAGGAACGATGCGCAAAGTAGTAGGATGAAGGGTCCCTCTCTCAAGGTCCCTCCCCGTATCCGGAAAACCCAAGGCGCGAGTGGTTGGGCCGAGGCTGCGACAGCGGCGGCAAGGTGGTCCACGACTTCGGACTCTTCGCAACCCTAAACCCTCAACCCTAAACCCTAAACCCTAAACCCTAAACCCCAAACCCGAAACTCTAAGCCCTAAACCCTCTTCAAACACACATTCCCAACCCCCCTTAAGGCCCCTAAGCCCCTGACCCCTCAACCCCTGAACCCTCAACCCCTAAACCCTAAACCCTAAACCCTAAAACCCTTAAACCCTTAAACCCTAAACCCTAAACCCGAAACCCTAAACCCTAAACCCTAGCCTGCCAGACGTTCTCTGGGTCGTCGCGAGGCATAGGCCGCATAGGGTTCTTGGCCCAGACGAGGACATAAAAGCCTCCCGATGTAGAATGTGAGGGTTCTTGGGGTTTGGGGTTTAGAGTTTAGGGCTTAGGGTTTGGTTTGGGGTTTAGGGTTTGGGGTGTAGGGTTTGGGGTTTGGGGTTTAGGGTTTTGGGGCTTGTCTAAGGGTAGTTGCATGGGCCCTTAAGACGGTCCCTTGCCTTATGGGCCCTTGGGCCGTGTAGGGGTCCGGACGCAAACCCCACAACCCTACACCCTTAACCGTAAACCCTAAACCCTAAACCCGGCCTAAACCCTAAATCCTAAACCCTAAACCCCACAGACCCCTAAGCTGCATGGCAGGTGTGAGGCTTTCAGGATCTTAGGCTTCGGCTCAAGGTTAAGATTCTAGGGTTTAGAGTTTAGGGTTGAGGGTTGAGGGTTTAGGGTTGAGGGTTGGGGGCTAGGGTTCAGGGTGGAGGGTTTGGGGTTGGGGGATTAAGGGGTTCAGGCCAGGACTGCACCCCAAGCCAACATGCACAACTTGATGACAACACCCGTCTGGGAACTCTCAGCCCTTGAACCGTGAACTCCCCTAAACCTTAAATCCTAAACCCTAAACCCTAAACTCCAAACCCCAACCCCGAAACCCTGAAACCCAACCCCTAAACCCTAAGATTGTGGCGACATTCCGAGAGAATATGGGGGTTTCCGTAAATGGGCCGAAATTGGGGGGGGGGGGGGGGGGGGGGGGGGGGGGGGGGGGTGTGTGCAGCTTAAATAGGGTCTATTTGGAAGCTGAGACTCGTGTTTTAAAGAGGAAATCAGGCCCCAAAACGCATACTTATTTACAAGAGACAACTTCCAAATAGACCCTATTTTAGGTTCTGTAGGGTTGCCAAGACAGAATTTAATTCAATTAATTCAATTAATTCATTTATTTACACTTGGGGAGGTTGAATTAATTGAATTAATTGAATAAATTCAATTAATTCACCCCCCCCTTTTGGAATTAATTGAATTAAATGAATTAATGGAATTAATTGAATTAATGGAATTAATTGAATTAATGGAATTAATTGAATTAATTGAATTAATTCAATTAATTCCAAATGAGGGGTGAATTAATTGAATTAATTCAATTAATTCAGTTAATTCAATTAATTCAATTAATTCAATTAATTCAATTAATTCAATTAATTCAATTAATTCAATTAATTCAATGAATTCAATTAATTCAATTAATTCCAAATGGGGGGGTGGGGGGCTCGGGGCTGGGGGCGGGGGGGGGGGCACCATTTGGAAATAATTGAATTAATTGAATGAATTCACCCCCCCCCCTTTTGGAATTAATTGAATTAAATGAATTAATGGAATTAATTGAATTAATGGAATTAATTGAATTAATTCAATTAATTCAATTAAATGGGGGGTGAATTAATTGAATTAATTCAATTAATTCAATTAATTCAATTAATTCCAAATGGGGGGGGGCACCATTCCGGGCTCGTAAATTAGTATTGCGGGGAGGCCCGGGCTCGTGATTTAGTATTGGGGGGAGGCCCGGGCTCGTGATTTAGTATTGGGGGGAGGCCCGGCCTCGTAATTTGGAGGCCGGGCTCGTGATTTAGCCCGGGCTCGTGATTTAGTATTGGGGGGAGGCCCGGGCTCGTGATTTAGTATTGCGGGAAGGCCCGGGCTCGTAATTTAGTATTGGGGGGAGGCCCGGGCTCGTGATTTAGTATTGGGGGGAGGCCCGGGCTCGTGCTTTAGTATTGGGGGGAGGAGGATTCCCCAGCCCCCACCCCCCATTTGGAAATAAATGAATTAATTGAATTCATTGAAATACTTGAATTAATTCAATTAATTCAATTAATTCATTTATTTCCAAAGGGGAGGTGGAATTAATTGAATTAATTGAATTAATTCAATTATTTCAATTAATTCAATTAATTCAATTAATTCAATTAATTCAATTACTTCAATTAATTCAATTAATTCAATTAATTCATTTATTTCCAAATGGGGGGTCGAACGCGATGAGAAATGCGCGGCTCGATTTGGCCAAATTTTGCCGGGCAGCCTCCGGGCAAAATTTGGCCAAATCGAGCCGCGCCTTTCTGAAGGCCCGAAATTTTTAAACTATCGCGGCTCGATTTGGCCAAATTTTGCCGGGCAGCTTCCGGGCAAAATTTGGCCATGGGGATGAGAAATGCGTGGCTCGATTTGGCCAAATTTTGCCCGGAGGCTGCCCGGCAAAATTTGGCCAAATCGAGCCGCGCCTATTCATTTATTTCCAAATGGAGGGGGGGCCTCGCCCCCCCCATCCCCACCTCCCCCCTCCATTTGGAATTAATTTAATTAATTCATCCCCCCTTTTGGAATTCCCCATCCCCACCTCCCCCCTCCATTTAGAATTAATTCAATTAATTCATCCCCCCTTTTGGAATTAATTGAATTAGTTGAATTAATTGAATTAATTGAATTAATTCAATTAATTCAATTAATTCAATTAATTCAATTAATTCAATTAATTCAATTAATTCATTTAATTCATTTATTTCCAAATGCCCCCCCCCGTGTGCAGCTTAAATAGGGTCTATTTGGAAGCTGGGAATCGTATTTACAAGAGGAAAACAGGCCCCAAAACGTATACTTATTCACAAGAGCCATGTTCCAAATAGACCCTATTTTAGGTCCTGTAGGGTTGCACAGACAGAATTTAATTAATTAAATTCCTTAATTTCCACTTTCCCCCTGGAATTTAATGAATTTAATCAATTAATTCAATTAATTCATTTATTTCCAAAGGGGGGGGGGGTGGAATTAATTGAATTAGTTGAATTAATTGAATTAATTGAATTAATTGAATTAATTGAATTAATTGAACCCCCCCCTTTGGAAATAAATGAATTAATTGAATTAATTGAATTAATTGAATTAATTGAATTAATTGATTTAATTGGAATTAATTCAATTAATTCAATTAATTCCACCTCCCCTTTGGAAATAAATGAATTAATTGAATTAATTGAATTAGTTGAATTATTTCGATTAATTCAATTAGTTCAATTAATTCATTTATTTCCAAATGGGGGGGATTCCCCAGCCCCCACCCCTCCCCCCCCTTTGGAAATAAATGAATTAATTGAATTAATTGAATTAATTGAATTAATTGAATTAATTCAATTAATTCAATTAATTCAATTAATTCAATTAATTCATTTATTTCCAAAGGGGGGGTGGAATTAATTGAATTAATTGAATTAATTCAATTAATTCAATTAATTCAATTAATTCAATTAATTCAATTAATTCAATTAATTCAATTAATTCAATTAATTCATTTATTTCCAAATGGGGGGGGATTCCCCAGACCCCACCCCCCCAGCTCGATTTGGCCAAATTTTGCCCGGAGGCTGCCCGGCAAAATTTGGCCAAATCGAGCCGCGCCTTTCTGGAGGCCCGAAATTATTTAAACTATCGCGGCTCGATTTGGCCAAATTTTGCCGGGCAGCCTCCGGGCAAAATTTGGCCAAATCGAGCCACGCATTTCTCATCGCAT